TTTTTTTTTTTTTTTCTTTTTTTTGTGGGGCGGGGGCGGGGGAACCTGATCATGCAATAAGAACAAAAAGAGACAGCCTAAGGGCCAATAGAAGAGGACACCCCCCAATCATGAAAAATTGTGGAGAAGGGGTAATTACAAAAGAATTTTCTTGTAGAACGTCACCAAGAAGCAGTGAACTGTATACTAGTACTAAAAGTATGAGACTCAACTAAATTGTCTTAAACAGCTTTCTTTCCAACCAACAACCCCAAAGCATATTTAATATCTTAGCATCCATGTCGTGAAAGAAATTTAAGCGAATGCATTTGAACAACTCCTATAATGCTTACAAAAGATTGAACAATTGTGGTTGAGAATCAAGATATTTTGAGGATGATAAATACAAGGAAAACAGCAAGGTTCCATTAAACAACTACCATCAGGAACAGTAGAGGAACCCAGAGAACTGAACAAGATGTTCAAAATATCCAATAAAACAGATAAAGATGAAAGAAAAAAACAAATAATGCAAAATAAAAGAAAATGGGTGACGTATATGTCTTCAGCCACAGGAAAGACACAATTCACAAGCTTAAAAGCACCGTAGTCCATTATATAATAACTAGGATCCAATTCGAATCAATCAGGTTAATCACCAGCCTAGTCCTGACAACTGAATGAATATTAACGTCGACTGTGTAAAGCATTATTAAAGAACTCAAATCCAAGCAATCACAAAATACCTTATAAGCTCACGAAGAAAAACCTCTTTGTTGCTGTACAAGCTGTTGACAATGAGGTCCATCAGACGACTCACCTGCCATGTAAAAAGAAAACACAAATATAGAAGGTAAACGGTGAATATAAGCATCAAGATTTAAATTCCAAATTAGTATATAGTTTCTTGTTCAAGGAACATGCCTCTGCTTGATACTCGTACTTCTCAACTGGAGGGGCAGCTGATGCAGCAGATGCTGTCGAAGTTGACTCGTACCGATGGGTCAAGGAAAAAGTGTGTTTCAAATTCAATTGAGAGGAAGATTTTACTGCATCCATTTGTCCAGCCGCTAAAAATGAGTACTGTCTGACTTTACCATCACTCTCTCCCACCTGAAAATGTCGGGAACAAGTGATCCATGCCATGTTTCAGAAAATTACAATCTAGCAGAATAGTTCAGCAACATAACAGTGAAGCACAAAACCAAGCTTTCCACATAAACCACGATAAGAAAGCAACAAAAGGACCATGAAATAGCGCGGGAGGCATAAAACGGATTTTATCCATTGAATATTAATAACCCAACAAAACATCTTGGGCCCCAATAAGAGACCCTTCCACAACGAAAACTTTTTTTTTTTTTTTTTTTTTTTGACAGATAACCAAACTTTCATTGAGAAAAATGAAAGAAAGCACGAATACAGAGTTGCTCTAAATGGAACAATCAAAATCAAAATATCAAAACATCAACGGAGGTTCTTGACTTCCATCCCAAGGCCAAAATGCCGATCATAGGATCTTCATCAACATCAAAATATCTTCATATAACTAATAAAAACCAAAAGAAAAAAAAACCATGAAAATCCACAGAAAGGGGCGAAGGGAGAGGAACATTCCAATCAACTATTCCTCATTTCAAAACACTCCCACGCATAAATGTTCGATTCTCAAGGATTTCAGAAAAACAAATACAACCACAGCAAGAAAACGACACAGACCGAATGGGAAAGAACTGCGGCATGAGTGGCCGGAGCCACAGCAGAGGCAGCATTACGGTGGTAGCGAGCTCCACCGGTTCGAAGGATAGCAGAGACAGAGCGCCTGGAAAGCTTGTGCATAGTGTAGAAGCTCGAATAACTTGAATAAACGAAATGAAACCAGTACCAAGCGTTGAGAGCGCAGACACAGACTCGCAGAGAGGACGACGAAAAGGGCTTTAGTAGGGTTTTGAGACAAATTTGGTCGACACCGCGAAGGTTCTGGAGAGGACGAGGGCAATTCTGTATTTTCACAAACTTATATAAATGTAATGATTAAAGAAATTTAAAAAAAGTTACTGTGCCACGTCAGTGCTTTACCTTGGCTTTTTCGGTTTCTAAAAGTTAGTTAATTACGGTTTTTCTTCTTTTTTTTTATATATAAATAGATCCTTTAATAAATGTCTTCCATTTTTCTTGTAGGCATTAAATCTTGTTAATTATGTAAATTAAAGATATTTATTCTCTCTTTTTGGTGTAGAAAGTAATTGGTACAATAAGAGATATTTATAAAAAAAAAATCCTAATTAACTAAAATGTTAATTTATCTTCGCTCGTATATATTTTTTGTCCATATATAAAAAAAAAACTTCTAGTCGAGCATCCAACCGTCTAAAATTTGCTTTATAGTCTCAATTTCCGTGCATTACTTTCTATAAATGAAATTATCTAGTGCATATAAATGTAGGTGTCACACTCGACTCATATGGTTCAATGTTTGTTCTAAAGGGGATACACGGGTTGGATTCAAAATATCTTTTGAACTAATCTAAAATTTTGGGTTAGTTGGATTGGTGACCCGAACAATCGAATAGTGTTCGCAATCCAACCCAATCTAAAAAAATAGGCTGAGTTATCGTGTTTTTTTGAATTATTAAAAAAAAAAAACAGTATCTATGATACATGTTACGTCAATAACTAAAATATCATAAAATTTAAATATAAGACATTCATAAATTAAAATGCTATGTTATAAACCTTAAATACTCTTAGATTTTTTTATTATTGACGCGGTTGATTATAAGAAAAGAAAATCCTACCCAATGTATTTTTATATAATTTAGACATTTTTATATACTTAAATTAGTCCGTTTAAAATAATAAAAAACATTTTTTATTTAAAACTTAGTTACATTTGGATAATAGAAAGTCAATTTATTTTTTTACTTAATGTACTAAATAATAGTTTAAACTCCAACACAAATAAATAAATTTAAAATATAATTGTCGATTAAATATAATTAAAAATTTAACAAATCCAATATTTTTATATCTTCCTTATCTTTCCAAGTTAGTTAATGTGAAATATACCAACAAAATTAGTAAATTGACATATTTTTATTATCGAGGCTCTGACTCCTTTTGGTTGGTTTGAATTTAGGGCATGGCTCTAGTACTATGTTAGACGAACACAACTCTCCACAATAATATGATATTGTCCACTTTGGGTATAAACCCCCATGACTTTGTTTGGGCTTCCTAAAATGCTTCGTACAAATAGAGATAGTATTATTTGATGGCAAGCATATAATTATTTCAAATTAGCTAACAAGAGACTTTCATCCAATATTTGCAATCCAAGCCCAAAATTGTCCGATCGGAATGAGTTAATCGGGACTTTTATAGGTGAATTACAGCCTCCCAACCTCACTACGACTCTGACCTACTTAACAAGTCCTTAAAACATATTTTGATTAGTTTAATACTTCGTTAAAATCAATTAATAATTAACTATAGTTAATTAAGAGTCTAATCTTTAAATCCAGCAAGGTAATGACGTCATTATAAGAAACACAAAGCCCAAGTCCATTGATGGATGTGTGTGGTCCACGATTTTCATCATCATCATTATTATTTCAAACGTATGCGACGGTCGTGGACACGTGCTGCACATGCACCTCAGCTCGCCGATTAATCGGTGTCCGGTGGCGGTCCGGTTAACTACAGGCCGCCACCACGCCATCCTCCACCGTCCAGATCTTCCCACCCCCACGGAATCTCATCCGACGGTCCACATTCCTCCTAGCATCTGTGGTCTGCTTTCAAGGGATCAAAATCTTAAAAAGAAAAAAAAAACCGTAATTTATTTGCCATGTGTCGTGGACCCCACTGGCACCTCTATCACTGACACGCATCCATATATGATTTATTTATTTTTAAATAAAACTTCCTTACAAGCTCATAATAATAAATAAATAAATAAATAAAACGATTTGCTTACGCTATCAATTAATATTTTCTCAAATTCATCCAAAATCTCATTATTAATTAAAATCTAAATTAATAAAAATATCTCCTAACTTTATATTATTCCTAAATTTCAAATGTTTTAATAATAATTTGTAATTAAAAAATAAAAAATATATAATTACAAAAAATACAAGTATCATTCAGCTTTTTTAAAAAAAATTATTAATACCCCTAAAATTAAAAAAAAAAAAACGTTCTTTCTTTAAAATTTTTTTCTAAAATATTGTTACTTTATTTGGACAAAAACTGTCTATTAACATTTCATAAATTATTGTCAGAATATTTTAATGTTATTTTAAGAGTTTGTGAGTATTTTATTTTTTAAATTCAAGGTATTTTTAAAATTAAAAAATAATAAAAAAATGTTTTTGAATTATCTAACAAAAGTTGATATTAATATATATATATATATATTTTGTAAACTTATATTTTTGAAAGATTTTTAGGAGTTAAAATGATATTTTTTTAACCATTTATTTTTTAATATATAAAAGATAAAATTGAATAATATTTTTATTAATTTAGTTTTAATTAAAATTATATTAAAAATGGGCTGTTGAGCTTTAGTAAATTTTAAAAAATATTAATATTATATGTTATTTAAGATTATAATATTCTAGATTAAATGGAGATAATAACAATATAATTTGTATGGTTGCTAAAAACATTTATCACCTAACTAATAATTAAGATATGCTGTTTTCTATAAAAAGAAATAGTGATTAACTATAATATCTTAATTAGCTAAATTATATTAAAATTCACATCAAAATCTAAATTATTTATGAAATAATTAATAGTCAACGTGAATGAGGTAATTGGAAAGGGGCGCGTGAGATACACGGGAGCGAGAAGCGAGTGGGAATGGAGTTACAGAGACAGTAAGGCAGAGCATACAACTGCGAGGTGAAGAGGCGCAGGGAAATGAAAGAGAGAGAGAGAGAGAAGAAAGAGAGAAATTGGCGTTCATCAAATGATCAAAAGCCCTCCCTGGACGCTTTATTTGAACTTCCTCTTTCGTCGATTCAATTTTTCTTCCTCTCATGCGGCACTTCTGTTCTGATTCAAATGTAGAGAAATTTTGGTGATCTAGTTTTTTTCTACAGGAAGAAGAAGGGGAGATTGAAGCTCTGTGGTGAGCTTCAATTTGTAATTTGTGGTTTTTTTTTTTTTTTTTTTTTTTTTTTTTTTTTTTTTTTTTTTTTTTTTTTTTTTTTTTTTTTTTTTTTTTTTTTTTTTTTTTTTTGTTTTCTATGAAGTGAATTTGGTATTTGGAATCTTGTTTTTTGTGGTTATGAAACTGTGATGGATTGTTTTTTGCTTTGTGAATTTAGGTAATCTGAAATTTCGGGCAGACTTGATAGTGAGATGAACAAGGAACAGCGACCGGAACCTCTTGATTTCTTCATTTGGACTATAGAGGTACTTACAGATCCTCTAGCATCTGATACATCATCTTTGATTTTGGATCTCTTGTGCAAGGATCTTTAACTGCAATTCTTGCTTGTTTGGATTTTGACTTGAAAATCTGAACGGTTATGTGTTAAGGAGTGTCGGTCTGGGAGTTTGTACTTGATGGCTGCTGTAACCTTTCCCATTGATTGCTTGTTCAAGTGTTTAATCGTGTGATATGGTGATGCCCTCTGTTTTTTGTGCTTATTGCTGGTAAGGTGTGATTGCTGGATCAATGGGGTTTACCCAGTAATAATCTTCCCTACTTTGTTTGTTATGAGTTTTTGTTTTTTTAGGCGCTGAAAACTTCTCAAAATAATTGTTAATTGTGAAATGAAATCAATGAATTCATCACCAGTGCTTTAATGTAGGAGCTTCATTTTCTAATATCTCCCTGCGAAATTCGTATATACATGCAAAGGTATGTTCATTGCATTGGGATTTATTTTATCTCCTATTTAGATTTTTGGACTTTCCGTGTCAGTTCCACCCTCTTTTCTCTTTCTAGTTTTGAAGTTTAGTAGTTAGCTTGAACTTCTCTAAATTTTTTTTTTCAGGAATTTTGAATATAAGAAATTATATTTGATGGAGCCGAAGAAATTATGTCATAATGTTATACCTATGTTCCCGGTTCTCTGCATGTTTTGGATGTCACATGGTTTTTAGTTTCTTGAAGTCCAATTTTTTTGAGATATCATTCCAAACTGCTGCACCTGTCCATTTTAATTGGAGTGGTCATGTGTATCACTGCTTAGCTTGATATTTGTGTGATTTTTTGGAACTTTATCTTGGCTGATTGTTTGTGTACAGATAGATGCACTGAATACTGCATACATTCGATTTGGAGAGGATGTTTTTATATGGCAAACATTTCGATATTCCATTGTATTACATCTCTCAGGCTAGAATTTTAACTGTAAATTTGGTGAAATTGGATTTATAATATGCCTCCTCCATGCCTACTACAATTTCTTTCCAGGATGTTGGTTTGTGGTTGGAAGAGATAAATCTTGGAAGCTATCGTCAGATCTTTAAAGAAAACGGGGTCAATGGAGAGTATCTTGAAGGCATGTCAATGTTCACAACTGAGCAGATTCTAAGGTTTATCAGACGATGTCATATGAAATGGGGAGACTTCATCACACTTTGTAAGGAGCTCCGACGAATTAAAGGTCTGTGTATGATGCAGCTTTTTCTCTCTTTTTAATTCAAAGTCATTGGAAAAATATATATATTCAGGGTTGTCTTCTTGCTGCTATCATCGGATATTTCAGTAGTTCCTAAACAAGATTTGTAATTAATGAAATTCACCATAGAAAATAAATAAACAAATAAACTAAATGCCCCAAATCTTAATTCAAAGCATGCGAATTGGCGTATTTAGACATTGGAGTTACAGTAAGCCTTTTCTGAAACATTTTAAAGTGACTTGCCTTGTTTTTTTAAGCAGTTTGTTCTGTTTTTAAAAGTTTGAACGTGTAAATAAACTATTTAACTCCTTATTTGATCTGTTTGCAATCTCCGGTTGTCATCATTAGCATGTTTCTGACAGTGCTAGTTGAGAAATTGATGCGTGCACAAGTTGTTATGCTGCACAAGAGTCCGGTTGTCATCTATTTTGTTTTGTTTTCTTTTCTTTTTAATAACCATTTTTAGAGGAGACATTATGCTAGTTTAAATATCGTGCATATCTGCTTAACTTTGTTTTTGAAACACTAGAATTTTCAAAATCACAATCTCTCAAGTCATACCAAACCTACTCTAACTATATGTCTGCTTTTCCAGTTGACATTAAGATCATGGTGTTTATTCTTTAAGTTATGTACTTCCAGTGGCTTGCTTGAAAGGAGAGCAAAAGGTACGACGGCCGTGGTGGGCACCATCGTGTCTCTCTATGGTGTTTCTCAAGGTGGCTAAGCGTAACAGACAATCTCGAGTTGTTTCCTTGAAGCTGGAACCATAAGTCGATCATCTTATTTGTATGCCCTCGTGTATTTCTTTTTATGCGTGAAGAATATAAAGGTAGAGAAGAAACATATTAGTTTACCCTTTTCTTAAAATTTTAATCAGTCAATATTACCTCTTTTCTTCTTCTTTGTTTAGAACTATGTTTATATTATATACAAGGTTTATGTGTTCAGTTTGACAATCCGCTTGAGGAAAAGCAATGAAGCAACCAAGATTTTCATTTAGGCCTGTATACAGAGTCCAATCATGTTTTCTCCTCTAGTCCCTTTGATAGTTTAGAACAGTCCCGAGGGGGGGCGGGGAAAGTGCTGGTGAGTAGAGAGAGCCTTATTATGATATAGTAGTGTGAAATCCTACATCGGTTGGAGAGGGAAACGAAGCATTCCTTGTAAGGGTGTGGAACCTCTTCCTAGTAGACACGTTTTAAAAACCTTGAAGGAAAGTTCAAAGAAGACAATATCTACTAGCAGTGAGCTTGGGCGGTTACAAGTAAAGAAGGACAGAGGCTTTCGAGGTGAACTTTCCTCTTTTACATTGGATACTACTTATTGTTTGTACATTGAATTGATATGGTAAGGGGATACATTTAATATCTGTGGCACTCACATCGGGGTGAGTTTGGACAGACTTCATCTGAGACCCTTAGAAGACAAACCCACATGGAAGACAAAAGACATTATTCCATCGTCTTCTCCCAAGAAAAGTAGGAGATAGAAACTTTCCATTAAAGTCTGATCACCAAGTGAATACCTCACCTTTCTCTTTCTCTTCTCCACTCTTTTATTTCCCCCCTTGTTTCTGGTGAAATTTCCTGGTCCTCCATGATCTGAAGGGTTCGTAATTCAGTTCCTTATCCCAATATGCAATGGAAAGTTGCTATTGTTATTAGATTCCATTCCAATCATCACCTTAAGGTGATTGGACTCTTTGAAAGCCATCTGATCCATTCAGTTCACAAATGGACAACCCACATGGCCTCTTTAGCTAATAGACAAGCCATATAATAAAGGAAATTGGAGCAGGTGAAAAACCCGACCAAACATCAACATGTGGACCCTCTCTAATAGAGTCGAATCAAGTACTTTTCATACCAAATCCTTTTCATTTAGAAAGAACAATCATTAGTTACAAGAACAACCTTGCCTCTAGTGTTTGTCATTGCTTCACTCACCCTTGCATTTGTAGGGGGGTTTCTTCTTGTATTGATTTGATAGCATTTTACAGCAGCTTATCTTTTTGGTTTGATTTTACATATAGCATTTAAAGCCTTGCTTTCTAATGGTTGGAAATACTACTTTTCTTAGTCCAGTAAGCTCACACGTAATCATTGTAGAGTTAGTATTACGCCGAGAATTCATTGACACGAAGCGCTTGCAGCCTCTCCTCAAACTCCTCAATGTGTTGTCTAAAAGCGCGTATGCGTGCCATTTGATTATGCTCTTATGATTCTATTTTGCATGCTGTGCTTTGCAATCTGGGATGGGAAGAGAAAGACTTTATTCTCCGACGGGACTAGTCACTAGCCCAGGTTTCTTTCTTATCGAACCTATTCAGCCCACCTCAAACAAATGAGGAAAAAAGGGGAGAGAGAGAGAGGTCCTCTTGACTTTTCCAAACGATGCTCAAGATCAAAGGACGATGTGTCATTGAAACGTATAACTTATACAAAATATACAAAAGTTACCGACCTTAAGGAAGAATGCAATTGTACTAAAATGATGTGTTTATATAGTGTTGTTGAATTTTTTCTGTGGATCAAATTAGAAGTTACTATAGCACTGAATAGGGAGCCGCCGAATACACCAGCTGCAGCTGCACCTAACATGTGGAATGGGTGTATAAAGATGTTGAAGTAGTTCGAAACTAATATATTTTTAAAAAAAATAGTGTAATTATTATTTTTTTAAAAAAAATTGAACTCCCTTCCAAAACAATTGTAGGATTAGATGTGCATGTTTGTGATGTTTAATATATGATTTGACAAATGAAAAAGTCAATGAAAATCTATATATATATATACACTCATCATATAAATATCATAAGAGGATAAACTCCTAAATTCATTTTTATATGTTTAAAATTAAAAATCAATATACTATGTTACAATTTAATTATAATAGATTAAAGATTGATTCATTGTACCAAGTTTATCTCCAATTATTAGAAAATCGACATTTTATGTAATAATCAAATTATCTCTGGTGGCATTTGCTTGGTTATCCATAAATTCACTGAATAATAGACTAATTGTGGGATTAGATGGATTCATCACAACAACTGCATAATGCATTCCAAAACAGAATTCCAGATTACAACAGTCAAAATCATACATTACAATTTACGTCAATCGAGTTAAATAATCAAACTATATGAAATCGGTAGCGAAATTTTTTCAGAACAAAACGCAAGTGGTAACTACCTTCCTCTTCCAACCATGCCCATGTCTTCTTCAACTCCTGCGTCGTAACACGTATCAAATTCTCCAGCTGCAATCATCGAGGGGTGTTCTTGAAATCTGATGAACAAGATCATTGAATGGTGTTCCTTATGTCTGATGAACAAGTGTGGCTTTAAGAACAAAGGAGTAGATTACAAGAACAAGGAGGCACTGACTACTTTCAGCTTTAGAGCATTAGTTTAGAGCATAAATACAGACCTGAAGAAACCGACGCAATAAAGTTCCTTCCAACAAACCATCAATCATCTCGCTATTGAGTGCTAGTCAAATAAGCTTTGTATAGGGCTCCCTCCATTTTTTGATATAGAAACTCAAAAACAGGAGGGAAATGCTGTGGAGTTCCACAAACAAGTACCTTCTCAAACCATCATTGAAAACCATTTGTTGAAGAAGGATTCTCTGAGACTGTTGTAGTAGCCTTCGGAGGTTCATGACTAGTTTTGCTAATGATTCCCTTACCGAAGTACTGGGCAATTACGGAAAACCCATCTTTTGAACTCTTCACTTGCTGGAAGAACTGATCTTGATCTTTATTCTGCTCCAAGCTTCTCTTCATTTCTAGAACTTTTCTGTAGTCTGGAGCACATTCAGGGCATTCTTTTTCATTATCCCCCAAACAACGCTGATGGAATGAATGCATACACATGAAATGAACAGCTGGGAGATCAAGAGTGAACGTGCAAGCAGTGCACTTGCTGAGTTGAAAAATTCTTGCATTTGTTCTAAGATCTTCAATTTCTTTTCTCATTGCCACTGTGTCTTCCTGCAGAGAGCTAATACGGTTAACGAACTTCGTTTAACGAAAAAGCTAACAGTTCAGAGGGTGGGATTGTATTTGGTTAAAGCTAGAAAATACCATATCTGCAGCTGTGTCCCTAAGTTTTTACTCTAGCAATGTTAGGTAGAATAAATGAGAAAGCTTCAGGTGCTCATCAAATGTACTCACAAAAGTCTTTCTACGTTTGTTCCCTGATCGAAGTAGTTCGGTTGTGGAAGCTATAACTTCCTTTCATCATCATCTTTAATTTATGTTTTTTTTCTTTTGAAGTGCTTCAACAATTAATATCATCCAGTTACATAAAATAAATTTGGGCCATTTCCAGTTAGAAAGACGAAAATTGCTAATTCCAGGAGCCTAGTTTCTGATTTTGGTTTAGTATGATGAAGTCATTTTCTACGTATTTTTCATTTGCTAAATTTGACCAAGCATTCAAGAAATTCTTTAAAATGAATTGCATGAGTAAGTACGAACCTGATACTTGTCAATTGCTTGCCTATCCTCCTCAATCATCTTGGATTCCTGTTCAAGCTTTCTCGCAATGTAGTCCTTGATGACAGAAAGTGTGAGGCATGGATTTCTTGACAGCGTCTGAATAACTATAATAGGAGGCAAGATATCATCCCTTTCAATATAGGTCAAAACTTCCTTCACTTCTTTGGAACAATCTTCTCCCAGTTCGCCGAAGTACTTCAATAAATCTGCCCATAGAGACGGGTCACCTCCCTTCCCTGAATCGCTCAATCTTTTACAGCAAGCAATTAAACCGTCGTGGTCGTGAGTTTGCATATAGCATGCTATAACCTCCTTGTAGAGTTTCATCTTTTCATATAAATACATGAGTCCTTCCCTAAACGCATTCATTTCACACAAAATAATCACAAGATCAACATCATAGAGAGGATTTTCCAGTTCTGATGGCCATGCACTCTTAAGCAGGCATAGTCCCTTCTCTTGCCTTTCAAGCCGGTCCTCAAAGCTTACTTTCGTATTGGACTCAGCTGACATCAATGTGGCTTCTGATCTTTCCACAAAACTATTACTTCTTCCATTGCCAACTTGGGACATTGATGGAAAGTTTAAATCATTTGACAGGTACAATTCCAACAGTGTGTTGTTAATTTCAACCTGAGCAGGTGAGTCCTTTACCTTGTTTGTATACTTTTCAAAGAATTCCATAAGTGACTGTGGGTGATGAATAAAAATGTTGAGAAAGTCAACAGGAGATGGCAACATAGATAAATATGTGCGATTTGAAGATCTTTTCTTCAATGATTCACCATCCTCAGTGCAGAGCTTCATGAGAATATCAATTGTCTCACGTGGCTTGTGTGCGATTAGAATCTTCCCATACTCTTTAATTGTCACGCCAGCTTGACTAGGCTCGAGGCTTGCAATATATTGCAAGGCCTCATCATATCTTCCAAGGTCTTCAAGTAAGATCTTAAGGTACCATTCGTGCTTTCTTTCCCTTCTAGCAACATACATGGCATGTTCATGGTAATTGGCAGCACGACAAACCCTAATTGCAGTCTCGACATCAAATTTATGCTCTCCAGCACTATCCTCGTTCTTAATAAATACATTCAGCTTTTCAACATCTTTCAATTTGGTGTAGCAGTTTAGTAGAAGTGTGGTGTGATCTTTAGACGCAAGCCCTTTCTCATGCAAATTTTCCAAGTAATTAGTGAGGTTATAGATTCGCTGAGCATCAAGAAATTTCTGTATAACATAAGAGGGCTCGAGATGTCCAATAGTATGGATATACTGGGCCATAGCCTCATCATAATCTTGCTTGCTGTATAGATGATCCCCATACTTTCTTAGCACTTCTGCAGTTGCAGCAGCATCAGCTTGTTGACTTTGAACAAGATTAATAGCTATGGTGTACAAATTCTTTTTAAATAGCATATCCAATTTGCTTTCCATATCTTTTTCCCCGATA